TCGACGCCTAAGGGCAACCTGGGGTCGACGGCTGGATGCACAAACACCCCCAGAGCTGATTCTACCGCCGGCTCGTTTTCAGGCGGCGATTTTTATGCCTCCTTGGAAGGACCAACGGCTGGAGATGCTCTAAACTCTAGACTATTGGCTTGAGTTGAATGAAAAGATTACGACTGGCCAAACGGCCCATGACGCATACTGATTGATCTGAATACTATTATACCTGCTGCTTAAAAGAAAAAGGTACCAGTACTAGTACGCTTTCCTGAAAAAACAGTATTAGTACGCTTTCCTCACAAAATTAAACAGTACTAGTACGCGTATATGCTAAACTCTATCAATCTGTGAAGAGTACATGGGTTGCAATAAGGATATTTTGATTAAAAATCCTGCATCAATATAGCAGAAGTACCAATGATTTACCTGAGAGCGGGCGCGTTTCTTGCTTTTGGAGCCGCCGTCAATGGAAAGATCTGACGGGCCGCCAGACGCCTCACGTTTTTCTTCATCTCAGCCATTGCGACCAAATAAGTTGCGCTCGCGTAGAGGCTCGTCTCGGTAACTGGCATCTCTGTTATAATGCTCTTCTTCATGGCTACGATTTTCATGATACTGATGCCCGGTCGGCAGTTCATGTAAAGTCTGGGTCGAAAGGAAGTGATGCACGGCGGCGGTTCATGTAACCGCCCCGATCTCCATAGCCACCCCGGTCAGCGTAACCGCCCGATCCACATAGCCACCTCGATCGGCGTTACCGCCCCGATACACATAGCCACTTCGGTCGGTGTAGCCGCCCGGATGCCCTCCTCCTCGAGGTGGTGCGACGCCTCTTTTTTTGAAACCACCCCGCGTGTCAGATCCGCAAGGATATCCAGACATCATCAACTGTTCCTAAAGCAAAAAGAGCAAAACCATGAGTACTATTGAAAGGTGCACACGATCAAATGCCCTAAAAAAATTTATTATGGGCTGATTACGAGGATATACACTACGCGATCTGGTGTGCCACCAAAAGTACAGTGCAGCCTGCAACTTTTATGCTTGGTGGTGGCGCGGATCTCATGATCTTTGACGGTGCAACGGCCTGCATATGGATATCATGTCATTGTTGCTGTGGTTCCAGTGGGTCCTAGATCTACGTGCTCTAGCGTCCATGGCTCGTCCAAGTTCTCTCCCTTAACAACTCCAGGCCTGGTGCTCCGGAGGTTCCATCATCTTCTTGGCTCATCGGCGTTTTGGCGGGTCCGACTTTGTTGGTCTAGATCTGTGTCTCCATATTCCGGCTCACCGACGTTGTCGGCTGCGATTGCATTCTGTGTACTGGCTCTCTATCCCCGTCGTCGCCTCACGAACCCCGATAGCCACACCTTGCCTTGCCTCTCCTCTGCCCGATCCAGTGCTTGCGCATCTGGTGGCGCCTATTTTCACCCTTCGACGGCGGGCGTAGCTTCCCTTCCGGTAATGGCAGCCCCAGCATGCGGCCTATTCTTCGTCTTTGGATCATGTCCCGGTAGCTTAGGGATTGTTCGAACATAGGCCAGGGCAAAATCTCTGCTTGGCTTGTTGATACTGCCAGCGGCAACACCTGCGGGTGCCATCCCCTTCTTGGACGCGCTACCATAGTCTTTCTCCGTGCTTCTCTTTGATCACTAGCGAAAACCCCAGGTCTGGTTTCTTTGGTTGGATGACGACGACATCACGGCGTCATTCCCCTTCATGAAGGTGTCTCTTGATTGCTCGTGGCATGGCCTTGTTGGATTTCAAGATTTGGGACATCGTTTTCGTTCGGGTTGTTTCTCTTGGCAACGGTAGTTTACTGATGTGTTGTAGATTATGTTCGGGCCTGAGCATCCCATGTCTCTCTACTCTGGGCACCATGTTTACACCATCTTATGGTTGTGCCATGTGATGTACCCTCCCTTTGTTCTCATTTCAACTTCTTTCATCAATGAAAGATACGCAGACTTTGAATATTCACGAAAAGATATCAGCATTGTCAAAACACCCAGAGAAAAAATGTTGTGGAGAAGCTAGCTCTTACACGCCTGAGTGCTCCCAAATGGTACTTTCGAGCAATATATTGTGATATCACTCTGTCTATCTAACTTTGCCATACTTATCTATTCTCAGTTACATTGGTTTAATGATATGATTAGCACATGAGCATATGTCACAGTACTCTACTTCCCATGCATGCAGCATGATTGATCAATTGCTGAACGGCTGGTGCTTGGATAGCTCCTGGAAAAAATATGACGGAAAGCAGTACCATCGGAATCATAGCACATATAGATCATACTTAGTCAACTTATACAGTAGGCACATCGAATTTGGGATATTCATATGTTTCTAGCGATGTATTGGCCTTTTGGGTATCTCAGGACCAATAACAGACTGGCAAGTGAACAGGATGGAACTCTCTGACGGAAAAATAACAGACTGCAGAGCACCTGGTTGCAGGCAATAATGTAAGACACTCTGTCTCTCTGGGGTCTGCTCCTTTTCTGATCTTTTCTCTCCCCTTCCAGCCTTCTTCCTATAAATACAAAGGCACTGCTCACTTTCTTCACTCCGCCACATTGGAAATTGAAATTCTAGTTGCAGAACTACAATGTTATATGTTCATCTGCTGTTCTTCATGAACTGCAGGCCTACAAAGTGTACTTGGTGGAGGAACATGGATAGGGAGCACCAAAGATGGCAGACTTGCCTTCCTGACCAATGCGCTCGCGCCCTGATGCGATGCCCAGCGCCTGCACTAGGGGAGACCTGCCCTCAGGTAAATCAAAACTCAAGTTGGTGGTTGTCAATGTAGGAGATATGCACATGATAAGAAAGATATGTTTCATTTCTTGTACAAACGAAGTTGGCGTTTTCTAGTACTATGATATCCTATCAGAATCATTTTCTATGTCCATGTTGAAAGTCGCTATCTGTCTAGTGTTTATTCCATTGTTCTGAGTTCTGATGGTGATTGGTACAGAGATTGCTTACATGAAGACAAAGACATACATTCCCATTTTTAGAAACCAAAACTGTACCTTTTAAAACATTTTTAGTTGCTCCTCTTACATCTGCTAAACTGCCATCGCCCCCTCAAAAACAAAAGCATGCACAGGATTATCCATAGGATGTGTGTTGAATGAAATAGAGAGCATGAGCATGATCCACAGAATCTGTATTGTACAGGGCAACAAGAGCCCACTGGAGGTTGCAACTGAAGTGTAAAAATGAAGCTGGTGAGTAGAATGGATTCAACCTTATACTAGCTGATCTAACTAGGAATGCCATGGTCTACGTGTCAAACCGGCCAAAGGGGCAGCCCTGCAACGATTCAGCTCGTCTCACCAGGACTCCATATGTTGTCCAGTACAAGGCTAGACAGCCCTTGGCAGAAGGTAACAGAACTACTCCATGTCCAATGGACACCACCTTACAAATTGATTGAATTCCCAGAGTGCCACGGATATATAAGTGCACATGATGTTGTTATTTGATAAAATACTGGAAGAACATCAGTAGCAAGCTAAAAATGTTGAATGTCCAATGAGGTGTCCTTTGTTCATTTTACTTGTACTGCACTAAGAATCCAAAAGGAGACTTTTGAGCTGGAAAAGATGTGAGAAAGCAACATGAAAGCCATTTCAAGTACTTCCCTAGTTATAGAGGGCAGTGCATTTAACTCAATTATTAATAGCACTGCATGTACAAGCAGCAAGACAGGAGTAGATAACACATGAACATGATTGCAAGCCACTCTGTCTTAGGGACTATTCAGTATACTATAAGAATCTGCCCAAGGCATGCATTGCAGACAATTTTTCATCATTGCATATATTGCTTGTAGGCAATTCGCCTCGGTAAAAACTTCAGGGAGTTTATAAGGAAGCATGGTGATGATGAAGTTGAAGCAAAGGATATAGCTGACAGACTAATGGCTGACACTACGAGGGCTGATAAAGATAGGCTGCCAAACACCGGTTGTGAGCCCAACTGGGAGCACGGTCTGACCTCCATCTTCATCGAGGTGCAAACTGACAAAGTGAGCATAAAATCTTTGACTTAATTGCAGTTTACAAGTACATTCAGAGTTGAATTATCTGAAAAAATATGCCTACTAACCACCAAAATAACACATAGATGTTCTAGTACAGAACCCTACATTGATACTGCAATGCTATATTTATTTACATTTTTTCACATGTTGCTGTTTTTGCAAAGGGGCTCTATGGGACAAGGAACACAGCAGGTCTTTCACTGAACTATGATAGAGAAGCTAGCTTATATGAGAAGTACCTCGAGAGTGGTATACGGGAGGACCACATAGTGCATTACCAGATAGAGTAGCCAATGCACACCTAAAGGCGGGAGCCTAAAATAGGAAGAAAGAATGAATAGCTACCATTGTGCATGCTGTTATTTCCACAGTTGCACTTTAAGATCACATAATGATATCTAATGATTTATCAATTCAGAGACAGAGACAATCATATTGTTGAATATATATATATACAGAATAACAATATGATATGATGTGTGTATTTACAGAGTTCATGTTGCCACCTTTGTCTATGGTCATACATGCTTTACTACAGACATTGTACCTTCAGTTCTTCAATACAGTAGATATCGACTCTCATGTTTACTAGATGTGTATACTTACGACCTGAATGTATTCAAGAACTAAACACTGAAACAATGTAAGGAAAAACTCTCTGCCAATATTTGAAGAAAATGTGCCTAATGTACCTCTTTTCTTCAATAGGCTGGAGTGCCGTGGTCATTCAGAGGTTTCTAGTCCTACAGTCCTTGAAAAGGCGCAGAAAAGGCCAGTCCACAGCATACCATAATATGATGTATGCACTCTGCGATCAGATACAGTTTTATGGATATATGTATGCACCATTTCTAGAAATCTTTCCAAAATGCACAAGACTACCGGCACAGGATTGCAATAAGATGAGAAGTTAAACATCACCAATAGGAGTACAGAGAAATATTTAGCTTGATTGTCGGAATCTCAGCTTGTATACAAGCAGGCTAGAAAGAACTGCGAAACCTAGTACTAGACCCCAATAGTTGAACACTACAGTTTCTCCTGCGTGATCTTGTTCTTCCGTATATGCTTCTTCTCTGCACGGTTTACATCGCTGCTCACGGCACTGCTGGGCTATCCACCTTGTAATAGTTCTTTCATGAACAACCAACCGTTCCAAACAATCTGGGGATCTCAGTTCACAGACATTGCTGGAGATTGTCAGAACCAGCAGCGTCTTGGCCACACTGCCAGAAGCTCGGAGCGCGCACAGTAGATCAGACCACACCTTCAGGCGGCCACACCTACCGCCGAACCCCGATCCTTCCGGAACCACAACCACAGCAAACTCCGAGTGGACGAGCGCGGGGTGATGACGGTAAGCGACGAAATCCGTACCATACTGCAAACCTGACCGCACCACCCAGTTCTTCGACCTGAGATGCGAGTACGCCCTGTACATCTCAGGAAACGACTCTGATGCGGAGCACAAGTGATCCCACAGCTCCCCTTGGCTCATCAGATCCTTGTTCGCCGACTCGACCACGATGCACTCCAAAGCATGGTGAAGGTAGAAGACCTCCTCAGCGCCCAGCTGGAACCACTGTTTCTCGGCCCCGACATTTTCCAGTGCCCGGCCAAAGGCGGCGCGGTTCAGAAGCGCGGCTTCCTGCGGGTTCACGCCAAGAACCGCATCCCCGCCCCTGCTAGATAAAGTCGCCACGAGCTTTGATCCTTCCAGTGAAGACTGGAGCTTGGCAACAATGCTTGACATGGGTTGGGCTGCTGCCAGAGCTGCGAAATCCTTGCCGTCTTTGCCCTTCTTCCATCTTGGACCAGACATGTCCATCAGCTGAGAACACAGAAAACACAGGTCTTAAGATTTTTAAGAAAAGTACAGGGAAATGTTAATTTGTGCTAGCTATTAATCATAGCACCTGCTCCCTCCCTCCCTCCCTCCCTCGAGACTGCTCTCAATTGTTGCTTCTGAATTCAATCATACTTCAAAAACGAATCCCCAAATCTCTTGCTAGTATAAAATGAGCATGATTCGCCAGCCCCCACAATAACCCGGTAGCATATCACCTGCTGACCGATCCACGCTCATACGGTTACGGCAGCCGAAAGCAAGATCATTTTTACCGCATTTTTACTACGGGTCCGGCTTACATGGCGTGGGGGGGGAGGCGGAAGAGCGGGGTGTCGGGGCGAACCTGAGGCGGGGCGGAGAGGAAGCGGCAGCGGAGGCGCGCGAGGGCCAAGATGCTGCAGCCGATGGGCGACGGCCGGAGTACGGGACGGGTCGGCGGCGGCACTCGGGGGATCCAGGCGCCGGCGTTGCTCCCTCCTCTGGGCTTGCGGCGGCGGCCGCCGGCACGGGTAAGCAGGAGGGAGCTCTCAGCGTCTAGTTGCCCTTGTTTCACCCGGAAAAAAAAAAAGCTACCCTTCTTTTTCTTTTTGTGGCAAGTTGCCCTTCTTTCGCACAGATCGACCGAGCGGGCCGGCCCGCTCAAACGACTCGGTCCAGTTAGCCACGCCTGATTTTTTTTTTCCTGTTCAGCTTTCTAACGTTTTTTCACTGGCATCTATGCCTGTGCACGGGTGAAAAAAAAAGAGTTCATTTCATGTTTGTAGGACCCCTCTGTTGCAATATCACAAGAGAAAAAGCAGTTGATTTACGGTTTGTTATATTCTTTATCTGGCTGTATATACAATATATCATACGAGATGTTGACAAATAGCACTACAATAGTCATTCCGATTAAATAAAGTTGGACTGCATTAGATTCACTAAGTCAAAGAGAATACTGATTCAGAATAATTCAAATATCATTAAAAAATTGCATGAAGCTAATCTTTATGCCCGTGCGTTGCAATGGGGAAAAAGTATATATGTATTCAAATTTAGTGAGGATTATCTGTACAAGGCAAATTCACAATTTTGGTGGACACCCAACGCAACCAGGAAATGAAGTTTCATATGAGACGCTTGTGCTAGCTCGGGGCCTCAATCTTCAGAAATTGGTCCTAAAACTAACTTCTCACAAAACTATCAAACCCACCGGCACCGGCCTTTCTCCAATCATCCCATTCGACGAAATTGAGCACCACCAACTCCACCACAGGGTGTTGCTGCCTCACATTTGTGAAGACGCGGGGCATTCCTTTGTTTCCAAAGGTTCCAGGAAATCAAGATAACTAAAGAGCAGCCACCAATCTTCTAGGTTTTCCTCAGAGGAAGGACAGACAACATTGATATGGAACCCAGAAAGGCACTATGCCAAGTCTCTCACGACCCCGCATTGCATGGTGATGTGTTCAGTGCTGTCCTCGCCCTGATTGCAAACAAAGCATGGAGACGTTTCATCCTGCAATCCATGGCGAGCTTTCCTGTCAGAAGTTCAAACTCTGAGATGGTGGGCAAGCCAAACAAACAATCTTGCATTTTAGGGGGTGCCAGCATCTCCAAACACAATACGCTGCCGAAAACATCGTTGTCCACTGGTAAAGGAGCCAGTACACCGAGCTGGCCAAGTAGCTCCCGTTCGAGGTTCATACATCTCGGTTCACTTTGTGGATAGGATGCCTAAGCGCATTGTAGCACCCTGCGTCCATCAGCAAGACGAGAGGCTCGATGTCCCAGACATGAGACATCTGTTATCCCGCAGACCTTTCTGGCCCGTTCTTGATTCCCTAGCAATCGCCCAACTTTGGCCAGAGAGGAGCAAAGGCCTTCAATCGACCTAATATTTCCACAACCAAAGGGATGGTCCTGAGCTGGCCAAAAGTTGCATCGCCCTGGAGCAGGTCCTCACGACAGCTCCAAGCGGCCCCGCAGACAAAGGATCATCGTCGCCAAGCGCGGCTCCAACTGAGCCAACATAAGTAGAGCCGTGGCTAGGCTAGGCACATGGCCCCATCGGTCACGACGCCCTTGGCCTCCGAGCAAGTACTTGTCTCTCCCTCGACACCACCAGCTTCGGCACCCAATCGACTTCACCGTCCTTTACCCACCCTATTATTTCAATCCTACTTTTCTAACAAACATAAGCAAACCTCCAAAGTATTCTAAATCCCTGAACAATTCTATGAAAATCCTTCGAATCAAATAGGCCCTCAAAATTGATAAATGGCAGTTAACGTACATATGACAACATGAACAATAGTATCACGATTTTCATTCACCTCACACTTCACCAAATTACAATGTGGGTTGTGCAGTAGATGTCTTAACAAAAGAAGATGAAGCGACTTAAAAATCACTGGAAAGACGCAACTTCATCGTTAAAACGTGCGATGACGTCAGCAATGTTCTCTGTGGATAGGTCTGCCCTGTCTCTTACCCTCAGAGAGACCTGCAACGGTACAGATCATTAAGATAATTCAGCATTTCATATGGAACCATAATCAGTGCGCTAAATCAGTACTACCTCCGTTTCAGTTTACAAGTCCTACACGTATACCTAGGTTGCCAATTTTATCACCTTCATATAAACTATATAACACAAAAATTATATGATTTGAAAATAGAACATCTGAAGTTTATATTGGTATATTTTTTGTAATATATGACTTGTATTAGGTTGGTCAAATTGACGACCTAGAAGCACGCGTACGCCTTATAAACTGAGAGAGAGGTAGTACGAGGGCAGGCAAAATCAGGCAAGCAGATGAACTACAACAAATGATTGCTGATGTAAACCGTATGGTCAGTTTTAGTCTTGCAACAGTAAAACCACAGTCAAACGTGGCCTGGTACATGATTTACCATTCACAGAATACACATGTGTACTTTAATATATATAAAAAGGGCAGCCCGGTGCATGTAGCTCCCGCTTGCCCAGGGTCCGGGGAAGGGTCCGACCACTTTGCGTCTATAGTACGCAGCCTTTCCCTACATTTCTGTAAGAGGCTGTTTCCAGGACTTGAACCCGTGACCTCATGGTCACAAGGCAGCAGCTCTAATATCTATACCAATATAAAAAGACCCAAATGGGCAGATCCAAACCATCTCAACCGTCAAATCATGTTATCTACCGGTTCAAATCGCTCCAATGTTGAGCACCAAACACGTTTAACGCTCTAATTACCCACTACTGCCATTGGTTATAAACACATTTTGACTCAACGCTATCCTTTGAAATCTGCCGTGTAATTAATATCCTACCATTCTCGCGAAAAGTAATCGATATCTTACGAAATACCAAAGTGCAACAGATATATCTTACCTAATATAACATGCAACTAATATCCTACCTAATATAAACGTGCATTGCACGTACATTATTACTAGTATAAACAAGCACCTAATGCATTGGTCCATGCACACTGAATGGAATTCCTAAAATTACCAATAACGGCAGCAGGGGAGATTATAGATACAAATTAACCCTTGCTAATACTAGTAATAGATATTCCATGCTATAGTGAGATAGATTCATAAAATAAAATAGCCGATTATATCAGCCTAACCTTTCAAGGTTTCCCAACAAATAAAACAGATATGCTAGGTTTAATCTGCAATGGCCTTTTTTTACGAGGGTGGGAGAAGTCAAACCTTTCCAGACTCTGCCTCTTTTGCGCCGACGACTAGAATATAGTTGAATTGGGCTAACTGAGCCTCCCGCACCTGCAATGATGATTTGAAGGATGCAATTTTTGTGATATTTCAGTTGTGTACTTAATAATAATAATAATAATAACAACAACAACAACAAAATTTGATTCGGAGGGAGTAATAATTTTAAAAAGATGCAGAGGTGTTATTTTTGCACATAAATGTGTTCAATATATTCTCAACATCTGTGAATTCATATGTTTCGCTGGGAGGAAAATTGTGAGGTACATGTACAACCCACCAATCTTTACTTCACTATATATAATATAGTAGTATTTAAATGGGACTTGGTGGTAACTTAATATGATTGATAAAGTATACTATATCCGCAGCAAAGCACAGGTATTTTGCTAGTTGAACTATATTAGATGCGTGATAAAGGAGAAAACAATACAGTACATTCAGTCTAACAATCAAATTAGTGTATACCACAACACTGCAAATAATCCATATTTTCCATTCAGAAAGTTCAGACAAACAAAATAAGCACATACTACAACAGAAGGTAAGAAAGTGCACTAAAAGTCAAGATCTGATTACCTTCTTTTGAATTGTTCTATCAGTCATGTCAATGTCAACATGAAAACCAGCTGCACGTATCTGAGCATGAACCTGAGAATGAGAAGCAAATCGATTAGTCACTTTGTGTCCTATTGTAATGTAAACACGTCCAAATTTACATACATTGTGAAATCACGTTTTCCCGGAGAACATTGACTAGACTGTAAAATATTTATGTTATGATTAATATAGTTCCAATACTAGTACATCCAATGTCTTTGGAATATACTAATCGACAATAGAGCCTAATTTAAACAAAGACTACATAAGCTTCTAATAGTATGCTTATGTTTTACATCAATCAAGACATAGATTAACATTAAATTAAACAATAAGAACACAGTACAGACAATCCAATTGAGTAAAGGCACAGTACAAACAAAGCTCAAATAAATAACTTTTCCAAAGGCCCATAAGAAGCTCACAGCTTTGGATATAATAACCTCCTGTAATGTGCCATGAAAAGTAGTTTTGATTCGGCTTGTATGTGTTAAGCATATAGCTAGTGTTCCTTCTGAGACAGGATCAAACTCAGATTTTGAATATGAGACACTGATATAACCTAGTGAGCTGGGTCTACAACTAAACATTGAATCTCTGTCCAACTGGTAGATTCTTTAGCCTACATTGTAGTGATATCAGAACACTTTTAACCAAATCTAGAATCATGACCTAAAGATAATAAAAAAACTGGAAACTTTAAAAGTTAAGGCTTCAACAGACAACTCAAAAGCTGAGGGAACGAAACAGAGCTTCCGGCCAAAAGCATTATGCACCAACAAGAAGTAACTATGGCAGTTTATCCTCAACATGGACTAATGCATTTTGGACTGTTATAGACAAGCAACACCAACAACTGTATGGGCTTCAAGTCCTATATGCAGCAGCCATGCGGCAAGCCTGGGTAGGTTTGTACATGCATATTAGGAATGGTGTAGGAAAAAGTAGAAAGAGTTTAAGTGTCCATGTTGGATATGAATCGTCCTTAAATTACATAGAATCCAATTAAGGGAGGAAGATAGAGTTGTAACTCGGTCAGGAGTTTTTGTTGTGACCCAACTTATGGATCAAGTTAAGCTGTTGAACATAAAGGACTAGCATGTACTTGTTTTAGACAACAGGTCAATAAACAAAAGTTCCAATGAACCACAGAGCCTCTCTACCACGCCTGGGGCGAGCCGAGGGGGCGGACAGTAGAGGGCAAGTGCCCTATCGCTGGTCATTATAAACACGAAATGTACCCATTCTGGACTAGGTCTATAACCAACAACAGCAGGTTTTAAGGTGGTCTTCAATGGGGCGGAGTGAAACAACACCACTGGTGATGCACGTCTGCAAGAGTTCCGATAGAAAATTGTCCTAGAACACGTAATGGTAAGCATGCAAAATCACATGGTTCAATTCGTCCATACTGCAGAGAGCCAATAGAGAAGAGCATGGCAGACAAGTTTGACAATGAAGGTTGTGTATAGCACACAACACAACATGTACCACTCAAAGTTCATGAACATAGCAACTGAATTCAAAAGTAAAAGAAAAAACTGCCTAACAGATCAGCACAAAGGACCTACAAAGACACCATTAAATTGCTAAGGTCCGCCAAGTGAAAAACAGTCAGGTAGGAGATATCAATTATTAGTCAGCATAGAGAAGAGCTCTGAAGTTAATCGATTCTCAGATACAAGGACAATTTACCTCTTTTGCATATGTTAGTGAATTGGCAGATACACAGCAAACAATGGCTTGTCGGGGGCTTAACCACAACGGCCATTTACCGTTATAGTGCTCCAAAAGAATGGCAAACATCCTTTCAACTGATCCTAGTATTGCCCTGTGTATCATTACAGGCCTCTCAAGCTTGGCTTCGTCCTCTGCAGAATAAGTCAACTTGAAGCGAAGTGGCAGCTGAAAATCGAGCTGCAACACACAACAAGGGTTAAATAGAAGACAATTATATTCTCTATAGTTGATGTCAACATAACATAAAAGCGAACCTGTAGAGTTGCACACTGAAATTTCCTCTTGAGGGCATCAAACACACCAATATCTATTTTTGGGCCATAGAAAGCACCATCTGCTTCATTTATCTGCACATGGATATCTAAGTAAGAATTGACAGAATCATGGCTTAACAAACAGCCAGGCATGCAAGTTTCTTTCAATGCAACTACAACACTGGTAAATACGCTACTGCTGATACAAACCGGATCAGTCACAAGACAAATTAAAGATAAAATTCAATATTAGCATTCGTAACTTGAGGTTGCAAGAAAATACCCCAGTAAGTGAACCTTTTGTATCCTGCTTATATTTTGCTGTTCTTTCTGTAAATGACCTTGAGTTGTTTTTCACATTCTTTCTACAGGTATCAGATATCACTCTGAAATATAATGCAAAAACAGATATCTGGTATCCACCCTGTTTGGTTCCTGGACACACTTCCCTGTCTTAGGTTTGTTCTTGGTTTGCACCACAACTGTGGCTTGCCACACTTAATTGTTCACACAGTCCATGTGGCATATAACCTTTTCCAGAATATTGCCCACTTGTGTGGATTTTGTTAGCCACTCCTTGGTGGCAAGTCACACTTTGCCTAAGCTTAGATGCAACTAAGCCATAAATCAAGCATTCCTTGGAAGTACTAGATGCTATAAATGCACATCTAGCAGCAATGGGTGATGGGAAAATTATGGGTAAAACAGCTTGCAAAGGTACCTTCCATGGCTTCCCAAACTCATTCAATGCTTCTGTCAGTTGTTGCTCTGCTTTGTTCCAGGTCTCAATGTCACCTAAATACTTCTCTGGTCTCTGAAAAAGTAAACATTCATACTATATATTAGATGGAGTATTATGTAGTGCATATGCTAACAGGGAGAGCCCAGAGATAGGTTTATGCAGTTATTTCTATGAGATTTGACAGTATGAAACTTTAGTATTTGGATTAGCAATATGGAAACTGAAACTAAAGTACATATAATTTGTTATATTTAATTATTATAGAATTGTAGAATGTTTATTGAATATGAGTAGCATGCATGGTCCTTGTTAAGGTGGGTCATTTTAATGCATGGTGACACAGTGAGTTGGCATAGTTGCATGTTAAGAGAATTGAGTTAGTGGGGATCAACTACTTATGAACTAAAACAGCGTCAGTTATTTCCAAAGGGAGGGAGTAGGATACGCTAGTGGAACAAGATGAATAGTTGGGAGCTCTGTTTGTAAAGCGTCCCTAAAGCGTCGCTTAAGCGACGCTTAAGCGTTAGAGCGCCCTCCAGGCTCAAAGCGTCCAGCTCGCTTTAGGCATGTGTCTAAGGCGTCCGCCTTAGACACTAAAGCGTCTGAAGCGCCTGCTTAGGCGTCCTGATTGGCGCTTTAAGGCAGAGAGGACGCCTTAGACTTGCCAGGCAGGGTACAGAGATTCCTGGCAGGGAAACAGGGCTGGGCTCACATTTGAAACAGTTACAGGAGGGGAAAGAAAGAGAGAGAACCAAAACCAGAGCGTGCAAATATCCAGGCTTTCAGCTCTTTCCTCTCTCCTCCGGCAGCAGCTTCCTCAGATCTGCACCAGCCTTTTCTGCTCTGTTGTGTGTTATGCTATGCACAACTCCTCTGCTGTTAGGTGCTACTGCCTCTCTTATAGCAATTGGCTAGTTGCTTACTGCTTAGTGGATGGATCAGAATATATGGGCTCACTGGTGGATTAGAATCAACATATATATGTCTCACTAAATGGTGCTCTATTATACTGCCCATCAGGTTCAGAGTCTGTCTAAAGCGTCGCCTCGCTTTACGCTTTATCGCTTAAGCAGTGAGGCGCCCCCCTAGCGCCTCGCTTCGCTTTACCGCTTTATAAACATAGGTTGGGAGTAGCCATTTTGCTCTCTATCAACTTTAACAATATTCACATGTTCATATGTATTCTTCAACATGCTGAGAATTGATTACATATTACTGTACACACCAAAGATAGGAAAATGTGCACAGTCCCACAGAGAAAGGATGACATGGCATCAACTGACTATAGTGTTAGAAGCCTAGAATGCCAAAAGAGAGATCGATAGGCATTTCATTAACCAGGCCAGCGGTTCATCAACTTATAACTGACCCACAAATATATTCCACAAACATAATAACAGGAGAAATGTGACTATGAATACCGTGATGCATCATTACTAAGATTTTCAGTACGTTCATAAGGGAAAATATTAAAATAATGATAAAGTGCCATATTAATACTGTCAATATATATGCATGATGTTATGATTCAACTTCATCGTGGTTACCAAATATGTGCTAAAGAGAAGGAAGCAATCAAACAAGGATGTCTACTAAAATGTACTCCCTCCGTCCCAAAATAAGTGACGTGCTTTTAGTTCAATTTGAATTAAAACCGCATCACTTATTTTGGGACGGAGGGAGTATTTTATAATTTTAGTTCATTCAGTACAGTAAAGTTGCAACCTTTCAGCATCACCATTTCATGAGAATTGTCAATTATGTATTAGAAGTTGCTGCAGATGTTATCAGTACATAAAAGGATGAGATTACAATTACCGTTGATAACTCCAGCTCGTATTCAAACCCAAATATTTTATAAACATAATCAATGAACTCCAAGCAAGACCGAACTTCATCCTTGATCTGCACCAACGAAATAACTTAAATAGGTGTGCAATAACACAAACTCACAAACCAGCTCAAGTGCTAAACTAATCCAAACTACAATAAAACTACTTTCTGTGGGATGTGAAAATATTGAAACCTGCTGGAAATATCACACAGCATGAATTTGTGTAAAAAAATCTCAAATTCGCAGGAGAGATGCTTATCATCATTGTATTAAGAAGAAAAAGAAGGGGTAAGAACCCTTACAACACACACACACACACACACACACAGAGGCTGAATTTGTGTAATCATGCAGCAAAAATGTTTACAATGAAGCATAATATAATTCCAGTAGCATCAAAAAGGGATAATCTATGTATCACAAACTTACTTGGCTCTCCGTGCAAAAAATATGGGCATCGTCCTGAAAGGAACATAAAACAAAACGATGATCTAAGTATGGAGCTAATCAGAAATAGTAACTTTTTTTTATCTTGGAAACTAAAGACTCATGGAATCACATTAGACTTTACCTGTTGGAATCTTCTGACACGTGTCAAACCTGTAAGTGCACCACTAAGTTCATTTCTGTGCAGAACTCCAAAATCAGCCATGCGGAGAGGCAACTCTGCAGCATTTCATTAAACAAATTTGCTACAATTAGCGCAACTGATCAAATCCACCTTACAGCAGCAGACAGAATTCCCACTAAGTGTATTAGAGAAGCCCAATTAATTCCCTCTAACACTTCAAATTGTGAATGCGGAGGTTTGCTTGATTTGGGTACTTGACATTTATTGGACATTGGACGCAAAACTAATCAATCTTTGTAATCTTGGGCCCAGATTCTTCTACCCAAATAAGGCTTAGATGCACACCTAAAATTCTGGATTGTTGCGCACTGTGTCAATACGATGCCCGCCTAACTCTACCAGTTCAAACTTTTGGGTGAACTGGTTGGTGCATGCAACTCAATATGGTATCAGAGCCAAGAGACCTTGAATTCAAGGCCCGGCCAACAAAGTTTTCTCAAAATTCTTGTAACCTACATCGATCCCTCATCTCATGCCTACAACAGCATATTATGCAGGGAAAAATCCAGCATTTTTTTACAAATATTTGTTTGGATTGGTTGCGTAGCCATGCCAATGCCTCTTTGCCAACTCTAGTTCTTTTTTTGCTAACACTGGCCAACTCATGGGCACTGTTAAAGAAGGCGTTATTAGGCGCTCGCCTAGGCGCGCTTAAGCGCTGGGCGTTGGCATAGCGCCTCGCTTTGGCCCTAGGCGCTCAAAAAAGCGGCCGGCGAGGTCCTCCGGCGAGAAATCAGCCTCTCCGGCGAGGAATCAGCTTTCTGAGGTGAGAAATCAGTCTCCCCGGCGAGGATTCGACCTCCCCTGCGAGGATTCATCCTCGCCGACGAGGGATTCAACTGCCCCGACGACAAATCGAGCTTCTCCGGCGAGGGATTGAGCTTCTCCGGCGAGGGATCGAGCTTCTCCGACAAGGGACAGAGGAAGAGGGAGGGAGGCAGCCTCGTGCAACGAGACAGAAAGGACGAGGGGGGGAGGCGGCGTGAGGAGGAAACCTAAATTTCCTATCGACTGCAGCAGACGAGAGCTTTTAGTAGGAGGATATGAAGATGGGCCTATGGTTTAGTGGGCTAGCCCAGCCCATCTAGCTTATTTCTTCACGTTACAGTACTAACGCCTAATTGCGCCTAATTTCGCCTAATCACGCCTAAGCTAGAAAAGCGCAAGTAGGTGCCCAAACGCATAATTAGCGCCTAGCGCTTTTTTGAACTTTGCTCATGGGCAACCAAAACCTTGGCCAAATACCAATATTTTGTACGGCAAGCTTGTCAAACTGAACATACCCATAGTGCCAACTTTTCTCAATCAATTTGAGGTTTTGGGTGAATTAGTTGCTGCAGGCAATTGAATATCATGAGATTTCGCATTAAAGAACAGTTCACCAAAATGACAATGAGATAAAGCACTGACTGCTAGATAATAAGTGCGCAACTCACAGTACCAATAAAATAGATAATCTTACAGGTACAATATTTCAGAAAGGAATAACCTTTATGACCACCACCATTGCAATTTTGCAAGGTACTGAAACTAAGAAACCAGTACTAGTCACTATACAGGTTGCGCCACCTTGAAGCAGCTCAGTGTGTAATCATTGCACTCGGCCTAGCACGCGCTTTTTCTAATAACCAGTGAGGGTACCTAGTATGTATGGCCTACTAGACCTAGTTTTAATACCTTGCATTTTTATTTTTAACCATGCAGGATAACTGCATTTTTAACTTGACCAAGATATCATTAAGGAATCTAAACAGAAAGAGAGGATTTACCTCTATACGATCGAACCTCGTGTCCAAACATTAGGCAATGGCCAGGACAATTCATTGGCTTAAGGCCAAATTCTTGTTTCTCGATCTGCACAAGAAAAAACAAGCACCCATAAAGGTCAGACAACGACACCCATATAATCTAGATCATCACGCTTATGATTTTCCTTTAGTATCTGCAAATGTGCTTACCTCAAAAACAAACATGTTGTCCTTGTAGTTTGCAGCATGTCCAGAGGTTTCCCAAAGTTGCATGTTGTAAATATTTGGACTCAGAACCTAAATAAACACACATAAGGAATAGAAAAACAAAAGGCATAGTTCAACTATCGATGATCTAGGATAATTACTACCCCCTCCGTCCCAAAATATAAGAGCATTTTTGTCAAAAACGCTCTTATAATTTGGGACGGAGGGAGTACGAATTAAAACCAACCTCTTGGTAGCCTCTCTCTCTATACTCCTTGCGCAAAAAATCCATCAATTTGTTATATATTATAGCGCCATTTGGAAGGAAGAAGCAGCTACCTGGGCTGCATAGTTGCAAAGTTTTGTCAAAGAGCTATCTAACAGCAAGCCGGTGAGTAAAGATCTAGAAAATAAAGATATGAAAAGGAACAAGATCAGATAGGAAAAATGTGTAGGTACCTAAGTGGATGGAAAAAGAAGAGTTTCTGGGACTGCCCCAATAACCTATGATCGCGTTTCTTAGCTTCCTCTATCATATGTTGATATTCCTGCAGATTATAAAAGCAAAACTTGTATGAAAAACAGAATAGGTTGTTTATGATTTGAAAATCAAAAGAATTAGAAGTATGACTAAAATTAAAATTCAGGACTGCAACCTTCATTATCTAACCAGTTTTTTTTTCTACAACACACAAGCGAGCTACTGATCATCTCATTAAGATGAAAGAAAAGTACAGAGAGGGGGGCAAAACACCCACACCTCCAACAGACACCAAACACACACGCCACACTCACACACTCTGAACAAACTAGCTAAGGATCACCACACATAGAGATGCAGACGACTGGCTCGCCCAGGGGAAGGACTAAGTGTTTGACAGCGGACCATGGCCGCAGGCCGGGCAGAGGTATGCAGAGCTAGGGTTTGAGAGAAGGAAGATTTGGGAATGTGAATTTGTTGTCAGCAGCTGGGCTAATAAAGGGTGGTAATGAGAGCAGCCAGTGCGCCGAGGAGGGTGGCACTGGGCATTCATGGCAGGATACTTTTTTTTTCCTTCTCCACACGAGGCCCATCTGTTAGTGACTCAGCACAGAGGGGCAAAACAGTCCTAAACACAGCGCAGTCACGGTCAAACGCCTCTGACTAGACGGAAACCGCACGGAAGGGTATTTCTGTAACAGCACCAAAACTGTGCACACTCGAAAACTAAGGGTAAAACCATCGAGAGGGAACCAATTAAGAGCAAGAGTGTAAAAACCCCTTTTATTAATACAAGAAACTTGTTTGAAGTAACCAATAAAAAGGCATATGCCTTCACAGGGATATAGGAAAGTTGTGCACAGCTGATGTAGCAGTGTTGTGCAAATCAAGCCACCGCAATGCATGTTAAAAGGGAAGAAAGATGCTAACTAAAAACTAAACGAACATATTCTGTGAAAATTGCATGACATATCCTTGTGCGTACACAATTTCCCAGTTTCCAAATCATCAAAGATACTAAAATTACCTTGAGACGTTTAGAATCAGGGAAAGAGATTCCATATACTCTCTGCAGGCTTTCACGGTCTGCTTTTCCTCTCCAGTATGATGCTGAAGCCTATATTCACACATCAAACTTAAGTATCTAATATCATCAAGAGAACTTGGGAGTTCAATGGATAACCAAAGAAGAAAAATACCTTGAGGCAAGCGAAAGCTTTAACAAAGGAAGTATTTGGGATGTGCGGGCCACGGCAAAGGTCGACCAAAGGACCACATCTGTATACTGTAATGGTCTTGTCCTCGGGCAATTCGTTAATTATTTCAACCTGAACGTATGGTTAAACATATTCAAGAAAACGAACATGACATCTCGAGGTGACATAGGAAGCCCTTTGATATTTAGATATAAAAGATCGAAGGAAGGGAGATATGTATGATGAAGGTTGCCTTAAATTCATTTTCCGCAAAAACTTCAAGAGCTTCTGCTCTGGAGACTTCAATGCGTTCAAATGGTTGCTTCTCCTGCATCAAGTTGAGTTGGAAAGCGCTTGTTAAGAAGGAGTTTAGTTATGTCACAGAGATAAGACACTAGTTTGAAAAAGGTACATTGTTCGGCAGTGGGCACAAATTAAGGGTAGGCAATAACTTGAGTAAAAAAGAATTAAGTAAAATATGATAGCATACCGCAACAGCCTTTTTAGCTTGCTTGTCAATGAGACCAAAGTGTGTATCATTCAGTGTCAAGTCCTTGTAGTGGGCGTCGTAGTAAAAACCCTTAACAGGCAAAGTGTCAAGTCATTGGAACACTGAAAAAATAGGACTAGCGTATTCTCATGCCCCAACCCCAAAACTTGAGTGATCCCATACCTCTCCTCTTGTAGTACAAGGTCCAATGCACAACTTGCAGCCATACACCCTCTCGATAGACTGCAAACAAACATCCTCTTCGATTAGAAAAAAGATGAATTGAGAATGAATTATAACAGAGACCTGAGAAAGAAAAATAGAAGGCTATGCAGCTACCACACAATTTGGCCGCGAAGGAAAATCACGCTCAGAGATAGATATCCAGGACGGTCTGACTCACCTCTCCAAGAATATGAGCACTCGAGTGCCAGAACGTGTCACGCCCTTCGTTGCTGTCGAACTTGAACAGCTTCAAGTCACAGTCGCCTTCCAATGGCCTCGTCATGTCCCAGAGCACACCATTCACCTGCGCTATCAGGCAGCTAGCGGCCAGCCCAGTTGATATCCCCGAGGCGATATCCATCGGGGTCGATATCCACTTCTTGCCTTCCTTTATCGCACCATCAGGCAAAGTTACTCTGCATGGTATTGCAAGCAGGAACCAACATTATTATTATGCAAGCGAAACAGGTAACAATTTACATGGTCCAAAGCAGGACCATGGCGTGCGCACTTGAGTTCAGAACTCCCAACAAAGGTATGCTAGCTGCGGGAAACAAGCAAGTAAACTACTGCTTGTGAAGACGATCTGGAATCTGTAGCAGAGAACGCATGCGCCTAATAACAAATCGAATTCTGCCATCATGCGGCTACACGATTAGTTTCCGGCTCAACCACTCCCTATTGAACATATGCGCTAATTATACATATACAAATAAAAAACGAGGCCATGTTTTTATAGAAGGAAGAAACACGCGGCGGGGGAGCGGAGACTCGAGCCCGGGTCCTCGGCTCCCCGCTAGTCGCATGTGTGCAGGAAAGGAAACAAACACGCGAGCAGATGGCGGGAAGGGATGCAAACCTGATGGGGTCGCCGCCGATGTTGAGGCGCTCGAGGGCCTGCCGGGCCTGGATCTCCTCGAAGATGCGGATCCGCTTCTGCGTCACCGCCTCCAGGTAGGCGGCGTCCGGCGCGACGGCCGGGTCGCCCATCGGCTCGGCGGAGAGGTGGAGGAGGAGGCGGGGCGGGAGCCGGGGCTGGCGCTGCCGGAGGAGGGAGAGGCCTCGTCGGAGGCAGATAAGCATATAGTGGCGGCGGCTGGAAGGAAGGGTTTGTTTAAGCCCCGGGGTTTTTTGACCTCTTGCGATGTAGGGTTTGGCGACGCCAAGTCATCGGGAGATGCCGGCCAGCGAGCTCCTCCTCCTCCCCGAAGCGCTAGGCGGGCTGGCCCATTTCGGAGGAGGCGAGCTAGGCAGTGCTAACGGGCCGGGTTCATGCATATATCCATATGTTTTGTTCAATTTATAGTTTTTTGTTCTTTTTGAACTTTAGCAACCTTTGTTAAACTAGGATCATCGAGAAGCATTAACGTGTGCAGATGGGGCGGTCGATGGTGCTGTCCACGTTGGCGAGCTACGTGTCTTTTACTGTGACGAAGGGAAAAGGTTAAAAACGCGTCCAGCCATTGATCCCCTCATTTTCCCCATCTCCCATTTTCTCTTCCCTGAGTGGTGGCTAGGGTTAGCGCGATCGCCGCCTCATCCCGGCATGCAACCTCTCCTTTCGGCTCTCCTCCGCGGCTCCGCCTCCTCCTCTTGCGGCATCCAACCCATCGTCTTCTCCTACTTCCCTCTCTTATTCTTCTGTGCCTCGACGAGGTGGGCAAGCCGGTGCACACACGAAGGGTGGTTGCGGGCTTGCGGCTGCGGCTCCTATGTGGGCGCCGTGGAGGTGGAGTCGGAGCTGCAGCAGAAGGAGGTGGATGGCCGCGACAACAGCTTTAGCTTCGATGAGTTCCATCACCTTCATTGCTATCTCAGGTTCGTTTCGTTGCTTGCTTGCCGTTGGGTCCAATCAAGGCTCTGTTTTTGGTTGCCTGGTTCGACGGTTCCACTCTGCCTGCGTCGATCTGGCATCTGTTTGGATTTTGAATCTGGAACATTTAGGAGGTTGTTCTGGATTGTTACGCTCTGTAGTGACAGGATTCGTGTTTCATATATTGCAAGAGATGAAATCGAGAGGCTGATGTGAATTCGTTTGTGTGTAGATTTTGTTTCATATATTGCAAGAGATGAAATCGCGAGGCTGATGTGAATTCGTTTGTGTGTAGATTTTGTCAGTTATAGGATGGGATGTTTATGAAGTTTCTCTTACTGTCCTGCAGGCTAGCCGATTGATGTATTTGATTGCTGGCCCTTTTGTGTTGGCTGATGGTGGCGAGATGAAATAAGAATTAAACCTGATGCTGGGACAATAAGTATTTGTACTATAGATCCACTAAATATTGTATTGAAATAGCAGGCTACATATCTATCTAATATGCATCTGTGGTACAAGGTGAAGCTTGTTTCCTGACAGAGAACAATAAAGATAAGTTGGTGACACAAAGTACTGAATAAAAAACACTTCTAATGATCTATATAATGTGAAATCTTTTTGTATGTGTAGATTTATCGAATAATATCATAATCTCTACTCCTAATGGAGCAGTTGGTAGTCTCGCTTTCAGGGTTTTTTTCGTCTCACCACTTTCGTCCGGTTTTTTTTTCGTAGGTTAACCGTCGTAGATTTTTTTCGTCGCCTCCCCCACTTCATCGGTTTATTTTCACTTCACCCTCTCACACAACGAAAAAAACTGAACGGATCAGAACTTTCCATACTGACGCAAATTATTTAGTAATGTCTTTATGTAAAAGAATCAATCACAATCAATCTCTAAAGATCAAATCTAAATTAATTAATCTTCATAACGTTTGTTTCCTTCCGAATCACGTCCATAACTTTCCTTCCTTGTTTGGGTAGAAACTGTTTGGTAGCAGAGATTAGGAAGCTTCTTATGAGTGTAGTAATAGGAAGTATTCTTTTTCTTGATGATTCGTTTTCATGCATGATGATAGTAAATTAGGCCAACATTCACCACTATTTATCAACGTCATCAATCGTATCCATTCCTACCAGTTTTAAGGTAATCTGCTCGCTATGTCTTTTTTAAGGGGATCCGCTTGCTAAGTCGTCGTCGCACGTTATTTTCACAAGCAATTTTCCTAAAAAAGGCGTGGGTATTGGTAGTTGAACGCCCGCTAGGTTTTCCGCTTGTCCCATCCTCGCGTTGTGCCGCCGCCACCCGCCGAATTTCCAGCCGCCCGAGCCCGTTAACTTCGCCAGCCATCGGGTCGACTGCCCCCGCCCCAAACCCCCATCCCCGAGCACTAGCTATCGCCGCGTTGCCACCCCAAGCTCCACGCCACCGGGAACGAATCAAGCGCCCTCCCGACACCGCCGTCGCCGGCCCAGCACCTCCAGCCTTGCATGGACAACTTCAATGTGCAGTCTCCCTTGCTGCCTCACCTTCTGCCAGCGCATGCAACGGCGGGGTTGGACGCGTGCGTGCTTGCTAGCTTGCTCTCTGTGCGTACGTACTTGCTTTGCGTGCGTCGCACCGGCCAATGCGCATGATGTGTGTGTGCCTGCTTTTCTGTATGTGTATGCCAGCGTGATGCGTATGTGCGTTGCTATGTGTGTATGATATAGATGGTCCAAGTGTGTGCATGCTGTGCTCTGCTCTCTGCTGATCTACGTGTTGGTGCTCCTGCTATATGTTCATGCCATACAAATGAAATTTCTGTTAATCTTCTGACATGTTGAGTTGGTTCTCTCTGTCTTCTGAGGGGGATGAATGCAAAGCAGTCTATTAAGCCAGGCACTATTGCTGAGCTAAATTGACAAAAAAATATTGGTAGCCATAGTTGTAGTTTAAGTAGTAGCGAGTTGTCTGATATGTATAAAGAGCCCGTTGCAACTGAGCCCATTGCTAAATTGACAAAAAAGGTCGCCAGTGTCACTTGATATGTATGAGAATATTAAATGTATTATTAACATGATTAATATTGAACTCTTAAAGTTAATGTGGTCCCGTTGCAACGCACGGGCGTTCTTCTAGTTCTGATATGTAGTTTCCTTCTGTTGGGTATCTCACGTAGCATGATATGAAGCTTCTGAATAATTGGTTGCAGAGTTCTCGTATGTGTCTTGGAGTTCCAAACTTCACATTCATTGAGCTTAATTTTTATATATCGCTTATGTCTTTCCAGTCATGCAGTCACAGGTTCTCCATTTCATGATTTTAATAGTTGACGGGGTGAGAAATTTCATGGCAAGAGCCATGTTTTATCTCAGATGTGTAAAGGGAAATATATTTGTTGACCCAAAAATCACACTACACTGTTGCAATTTCTCTGTCGAAAAGGTATGCAGAAGCCAATAGTACACAAAATATTTCTGTCGCCTAGAGATTTACTGGTTGTCTAAAAAAGCACCCAACTGATTGAAAAAGAAATAGATCCTGCTAAGTTGCATCCATTTGATATTTAGGGATGTTGCAAGATTGTACATATTCAGTTCCAATAAGAATAACATTTATCCCAACCTATGTCTTTGCAGTGCCTTGACGAAAGCAAATTGGCCTCCCATGCTATGATGACGCGAAGAATGGGACAATTTGCTCGATCAATTTCAAATTAGAAACAAGAAATTTGAGAAATTCGTTGGATAAGTACTGATATGGTGCTTTTCTAAGAAAGTAGGCATACTATATATTTTTTCCTTACATACCACTATACTTTAGTGGTATTGGTATTTACTTTCTCATTTGCATAATGATATAGTCATTTATGGGCCTTTACAAATGAAGTGGTAATATTAGATATGGGTAATTGGGTCATGGATAATTAATTAATTATTGGCTTGTATTAACTCTGGAGCATCTTTAAATTTCTCAGTTATGTTTTCTAAAAGTTTTCCCTTTGTTATAAATGAGAAGCTAGAAAACAATATTTGTCTGTAACTTCTTAGTGTATTCTGTTTCTTTCATGGGAGTTCAATTAGACACAGTCGTTGTTGCTTTTGTATGCTGGAACTTAGCCAAAGGAGGTTGCTTGGTTGATATATTATCTTAAAAAGTTCTACTGAGAATTTGGAATGAAGTGCTTGATTGGAAATCCCTAAGCAAAACTTTGGTACTGCTTCATTGGATACCGGTTACATTATGATGTATTGCAAATTTTCGTACTACTTATTTGATGAATTAATGCTTCTACATATTTGTAGGTTGTGTTAGTTGACTTTGTTGAAAGAAATGAATAATTTGAAAATAGCTGGCATGTTCTCTTAATCAAGATTATTTCTTGGTGTAGATTATATGATTATTAATGCAGGTCCATGCTCTACTCTGATGGCTGAGGTTGGATACACTTGCTACATGTTTATTTAATTTTATTCTATTGGAGGATTCAAACTCTAGACTGATAAAGTGGTGCATTTTGAATTTTCTTCTTAGATATTGTGAATGGTCTACTGAAGGTATCAATAATAATACATACTTTACATAGTCAAGATTCATACTTTCCTTATTACATGTTGGTTTATATCCCCTACATATGTGATGTGTGTTTAGCTTATCGACTATTCTTAAGTGAATCTTATGTGGTATTGCAGGACTAATTTTTCTTTAGACAATTTTGTAATCTTTAGTTCATTTTGGGTCATTTCCATTGCCTGTTAGTGTTTTTCGCTAGAGTGCTTTGCAGGCAGTTGTTTGAAATAGAACCTTCCAGCCATCTTACTTCTCCAATAGTACTTTCTTATTGAGTTTGGTTGGACGTTCTCCAAAGTAAATTTGGGAGAACAATAAACCATATTTTCTATGTTTTGAAACTAGAGCTGGCCATGAATAATTCTTTTCAAGTTGATAGTCTATCAGAGTTTGAATTTGCTTTTGTATAACAATATGGAAGTATATTATTTCATCATATTTTCCTAAAGTAGCTTCTGATTTGTTCACATTTGTAGAACTACACAATCTGCACATTCCTTCTCTTCTCCTAATCAATTTCATCTCAAATTAGGCTTTATCCCCTGATTAGCATTCTGAGCTACTTAAATTTCTTCGCCCACATGTTTGATTTAGGTTTTTGTTTAGACATGACAAATGTTTGCAAGTTATAGACGCCACGCCTGCCGCTGTCGGGGAGCTCCTGCCTGCGCTGCAAGCCTCATGACCTTGCAAACTCGCTCGTGCTGCTTATACGATACGGCCTCTCCCTACTCGGGATGGACTGCTTCGTGCAGATTCACTCTTCTTTGCGTGAAGGCTCCTATGTATCCAGGACCCGCACAAGGAAAATTCTGGGATGAAGTATGTACCATTTTCTTCAATATTTCATTTCCTTCAATATTTCATCAATGCATGGGTATAAACTGAACATTGTATATTGTGACCTATGTAGGAAAAAAAGCGAAAATGCAAATAGATGAGAAATCCCAACTTATTCCTTTGGCCATTTCTGTAACCAAAGCTATTGGCTGGCCAACACAAAGGAGCTGAAATTTCATAGCGACAAAAATAGGTATTTAATATCTTTTTCAGATAGTTCTCATTTATGGTAGTGGTTCTAGGTTTATTCAGAATTGTTCTTTTCTGTAAAATTTTCTTGAAGAAATATGTGCGTACTGCTTCTAGAATTATATTGTACCATATTTTACCACCACCTGCCTGAACTTTTTGTTCCGAAGGTTGATCTTAATTTCCTGATATTGTCTACTCCGTATATTTCATAATAATAACTGATAATCCCTCTCTAAATTATCCCAGCCAGATTGCTATGTAGACAACTCTTACTGAATTGATCTATGTCAGCTCATGCTCTCAAGCGGTCAAGAGGTCATTGTGTGTTCAGTATTCTCTACAGATTAATTAGTTTGTTCATCCCAACAGTCTTATCTACATATATCTAACCACATCAGGAGTTCTGACATGTTTATAGCTGAATTAATCTTTATACATATGGCAGGTGCTAGAGGTACCGTGCAAGCAAGCATGGCGACCGCGATCATGCTGCAGTGGCTGGGTATATCCCCTCCCGCTAGCTGAGGATGGGCTCGATGATGGGGCTCCTACCCTTACACAGGTATTAGCTTTTGCACTGTCTCTTTGTGTCTCTATTACCTTGCCTCCCCACTTATGCTTTGAATTTGCTCTTTGCTTGGCAAGATTAATGTGAGGTGTTTAATTTATGCTCATAAACTAAAAAAATGATGCCTGGTGAGATTTTAGGTGTATCCACCAATAATAGCTTTTGGAATAATGTTAATCCAGTTTGCTCTTTGCTGCCCAGTACTTGTGAATATAGATTGGTTACTCCACTGCATGTTACTCCGTGTGAGGTGGGCTTAAATTTCTTGTTCAGGTCATGTGTTTCAAGAACATACATATGGATAATTTGAGATTTTTGGTCATTTGTATTTGGCTATTTCATTCTTCTATAAAACTGCAGGTATATTCCCACATTGAACTCGATTATTGCAATGATTGGGTTGATTTGGACATACTGTGCCTTGAATGACTTTTCCCGTTGGGCAATTCAAATGATGGAAGCCTCTTCGGACCCTTCCACCTCTCCGGCCTCACCACTGGAGACTTGGATGCGAGAACCGCCGCCGCCGCCGCCGTGTCTGTCGGTGACGCTCACACAAGAATCCAGAGGCAGTACCTTGGTCCTCTCCCTGAGAACAACAACTCTCTCATGATGCGGGACTGACGCCACCGTCCATGCCATGTTCTGGCTGATCCCCAAGGCTCCTTGCCGATGTCCAACCAGTGCCACACAACCAATGGTACTGCCGACATGAGGACGCCCACCCCTGTGTTGATCGAGCTTTTTGACCTGAGCCTCATGGACAAGGTCATACGGGCATCTAATTTTGATTTGCTATGTGCTCTCTTTTCACAAGTGTAGCTTTTTGTGTTATAAAACTATGCTACCGATTGTTCTTTGTTGATATTTCCCTACTTGTGTCCTGATTAATGGATCTGAGGTAGTTAGAAGTCACTGAATAACTACTTATACTATTTTGTCAGCCATCACTGGCTACAATTGTTTATATGATACTTGTACTATTATACATGAACTGAGCACATTTGGTACAAAATAGGAGAGTGGAAGGGGCGTGTCCTACCTAGCACCGCCGAGCTTCTGCTCAGGTGGCGCGCCATGGGCGCGCCCCAACCACTAGTGTCTGTTACAAGTGAAGGAATAAGAAACTCGGGCGGTTCATTTGTTCAATTTATGGTTTTGTTTAAGACATGACCTGCAAAAGGATAACAAGTCGCGCCAACAAGATGGCTGATGTATCATCGATCTCAAAACTGTTATTGGTCACATAATATGGTAATCTCATTGAGTATTGCTCCTTCTCAATGAATTTCACTCTCTCCCATCTGCATTACCATCAGCAAAGGATACATGCTCAAAAAGGCTACCAAAATGATCGGCGATGGAATTCATCCAATATAAATTTACGGATGTTGAGGACAACAGCAACATCAGTCAACGTTGATGTCCCTTCGCATAGCAAAAGCATGTTGGCAACTCACCAGGATTTTTCTCTGTTACTACGACAAAGAAAGAGATTATTTTTGATAGTGATAAGGGGGCGTTGCTATAGCTGGAATCTCCCGATTTGGAAAGCAAGCAGTGGGTTATATAGAGGATTAGGGGAAGGATTATGGGCTAATTAGGGTGACCCCCTGAAAATTAGGGTGGGAGATTACATGTAGATTAATGGGTGGGCCTGAAGCCTGTGCATGCCTTTGCTGGACTTTGTGTGCATGTGTGTGTG